ATGGCGGTGCTCTTCTGGCAGCTAACTCTGCCGCTAAGCGGTTATCCGGCGGAAATACACGTGTTCTGCCGGACAACTGCTGTAACGACGGAGCATGCCAGGAAGAACAAAGTTCAAGAGGTGAAAGTGGTTTTGAGATTCCGAGGTTGAGTTTGGAAGGAGTGGAGTCAGGGTTTCAGTATAGGTTGAATTATTGCAGGTCAAGGAAGCCTGTTTTGGAGACCATAAACGAGGAACCTGTTAGAGTTAGGTCAAGGTGATTAGATATTTAGATTAGGTGAAGCTAGTTTATGAATAAGAAATTTGTTTGGTTAAGGGAATACTATTTAATTGGTAGATTTATATAATACAACACTTCAATTATAAAAAAAATAGCTGAGGTGGGAGATCCCTAGCATCAAACTTGTACAAAATTCATTTATACAAAGAACAAATTTGCGTGTGATATACATAGAATGAGTGGAGATTAATTTGATTAGGACTGATATTTGGTAATTCTTTATTTGAATGCTGTTTTTTCTTTAAAAAAATTAAACGAGTGAAATATATTGTGTGAAACTGTGGATCGTACAACCGGTTGTGAGCTGTGATAATCGACTTAAACATTGACTAACGTGTGATCAGGTTGGGCTGTGAATGGAATGAAGCGCGTAACAATTGAATGGAATTAATGTTAGGCTGTTTGAAAAGTGGCCAAATTCAAAATGACTACGGTTTCTGACTCTGAGTATAAACTATGGTTCCACTCATGGCTGGAATTTGATGTAGATTCATTTGTAATTGGTCGGTTTGTTGGACTTGAGCCAATTTTGGTGGGCTAAAGCACAATGGGCCGGGTTAGTAGCTTAAGCCGTAGAATAAGTTATAACATGTTTGACTTTGATATATGACTTTATCCATTAAATTCGTGTTCAGGAATTTAATCTTTAGTCGGAGTATATTAAGAAATATTTTTTGAAAGATGTCAATCTTTTAAATGGACTTAGCACTTCAAGAAATTAGTTAGAAATATCTTGATTCACCAAAAATATATATATAAAAAATTAGCTTACATGGAAGTAGAGACTATATTTTGAGATTTTTGGAGTTACCTTCTAAAAATTCAAGATGTTGAAATTATAATATATGTATATATAGGGTTTTAGAGATAAATAACACTAGGTTAATTCGAGTGTTTTGAGGTTTAAGTAATCTCTAGATAATCTTAAGGTGTCTTTCATACGAACAAATATTTTTCACGAAAAATAAATATGGATAAAGTGAGTGAAAAAATTATGAATAAGTTTTTCTTCCAATTATTTAACTTATTAATTTTTCATGTTCAAAACTTAACTCAAAATTACTAGTTAAATTAGAATGATTCTACATCGGTTTATATGTGTTTGAATACTTTAGTTGGTAAATCGATGAAATTGATATAAAATTAAAATTATATCATGAAAATAGGTTATTTTTAAACATTTATTATAGTGAGGCTGTTTTTATCACATTATATCAAAATTATTAAGTCGCATTAAGTTACATGGTATCTTTTAATATGATCTGTCATGTGAGATACATTTCAAATTTTCATGTACCTTTTTCATGTGTCATACTTGGCCACATCAAAAAGTGCTAAGTTTAATATAGATTTTTCATGTGTCATATGAGATATATTTTAATTTTTTTGAGAAAGTACGTTTGTTGCGAAGATCTAATACACATAGTAACTTTTTCAAAAGTTAAAAAAAATAAAATAAAATTGAATAGTGTATTAATTTCACTATATTTTTAACGTAATCTCAATTTAAAAAAATAATTTATAGATTTATCAATTAACATTCTTAGGGTACTAGTCAGTAAAATTTTAAAAACATTAGCAATAATTAAGTATATGTTTTTAATAATTTAAAAAAAACTTTCTTAAAAAATGATTTTTGGATCTAACTTAATTTTATAAAATTAGTTTATAAGGTAAAAATTGTTCCTTATTTATATACTCTTTAATTTATCTATTTATGGTTAATGTAAGATTTGAGTTTTACTCGATAGACTCTCTAATGTCAAATATTATAAAACTTGATACATGAGTAAACGATAAGTGACATTTTATAATGATTTATGAGAGGTAGGATTTGAAAATTTTCCAATATATGTCTTTAGATTCAACATTATTGAACTTGATGCATATATAAACGGTGTGAAACCATTTTTCAAAATGAATTTAAGATATTTATAATATACACCATCTTAAAAAATAAGTTTTTATCTCCTACACAATTTTAAAAAATTAGCTCGTAAGTTATCCTCTATTTAAGTTTTATATGTAAGAGTATCAGGTAATTTATGGTAATTAGTTTAATATCCATAGGTACACCAATAAAAGCTTAATATCCATTGGGAAGCATGAACGATATTGAGAAAACCATGTGTATGGAAGTTACAGTTAAAAGCATTTGAAAATCTTCCTGGTCACTGGTCACATGCAAGATGAATGCAAGCATTCGTTGGGAATAATCGGGGAACTTAAATATTTATATTGTCATTAATTAAGTTGAAGAAATTTACCCATAAACATTAATTACTACTGAACAGAGCTTTAACGTTTCTCTTCTATAAATAGCTAACCAACTTAAGATGGTAATTCACATCCATTTCTTAAACCACTAGTACAATATTACAGTAAATTGATTTTGAGCAAGTCTCTAATTCTGTGATAATTTGAATCATGAGTGGTAAAGGAGGCAACAGTGGCGGTGGTTCAAAAGGTGGCAGTGGCGGTGGCGGTGGTTCAGGGGGATATATGAAGGCCCCTGGTGGTGATGGAGCTTATATTTCTCGTCCAACATTTGAGAGTAACCCACAGGGTTTCTTTAGTGGTCTGCATGCTGCACAAAAGGACAATAACAACAAGAAGTAGTGCCATTCGACCTACTGTGATTAAGCTGTTCTAATAAATATGTAATTCTGGTGGTGATTTATGTCACTACTATTATCTCTATAAATAAAAACAGCATCTATTATATATACTTATGAATTTTACTTTCTGATACCTCCTCGTCGATCAAAGACATAGTTATGGAATCGAAGATACTGTTCTTTTAATTTTATTTTTCTAGCACATCTGAAAGTCATGCATATTATTAGGCATACACTTTTTAAGATAAATTAATATTTCATGTGATATTTTTCTTAATAGTATTAATGATTTACATTTATAAAATTTAATATAATTATTGAATTTGATAAACTATGTTTTAATATATGTATAAATAACTTTTTAAATTAATATATATATATATATATATATATATATATATATATAT